AAGGGCAGCGAATACACAACACTACCAGCCCACCATGCACTACCCTCAATCCCCACCCTCAGGGCGGGGGGTGGCCACTGCCTCACCACTAGACAGCCACATCTGCCGCTGTCCCACCCGCTCAACAAGTGCCACTGCCTAGTCCCTCACCACTGGGCTCACGACAGACCACAGACCACCCAGCCTGACCTCAGCCACCCCACATGATGCACACAAGCCAGCCGGGGAAATGCTGCCCCTACTTTCTCAACCTCCTGTGTAGTTCAGAATGACCAGGGGACTCAGTTCTGGCCTACGAGCCTGAATAGGAAGCCTCTGCTTGCCTGATACAAAGGAACAGTTAAAGCCAACACTGCTCTACTTCCTGCCTCAAGTTCAGACATTAAATGGGCATTTGCTGTCATGAGACAAAATAAGAGAATCACAGATCAACTTCCCCTACAGGGTCACAAGACACTGAGCAGTTGATCCAAGGCAAGCCACAGCCGACTTTCCGAATGTTGCAATTAAAAACAAAAAACTCCACTGTCATTAGTCCAAGCCCTTATAGCCAGTTGAGTTTTCTATTATTGTTAGCCAAATATACCATGTCTCAGAGGCCCAAGTCCTACTCCAGTTCCACTGTATAATCTTGAGCAAGTTACTGAATCGTTTGAACCATCCTCCTGTGGTTACTGTGAAGTTAACAGAGACGCGGAATGAGAAGTGTTCACAGTGACAAAAACACTGTAAGGAATGCAGCAGTGAACACTGATGTATTTCTTGGGTTATTACCCTTCAACCAAAAAAACCCCTGGTGTTGTAATGGGTGACACAGCGGGCTGCAAACACAAGGTCAGTAGTTTGAAACCACCAGCTGCTCTGTGTGAGAAAGAGGAGGCTTTCTACTCCTGTAAAGAGTGACAGTCTCAGAAACCCACAGGCATGGTCCTACCCTGTCCTACAGGGTCGCTGTGAGTGGGAATTGACTCGATGGCAGTGAGCTTACACCCATGAAGCTGAAAAGTCAAGGGAGGCAGATAGGGTTTTTGTTTTGTGGGGGGAGCAGGGGTTACAGAACAAAGGAGTTCTAGGAGTTTCATTTCATTAATTACCTGAACTGAAATTTTAAGGTAAGACTCAAAGAGGAAAAGCAAAAACGTGTATACAAGAAATTTTTACATCAAGATATTTCAAAGACCAGAATTAGTGATGACATTTCTACTGGACTGTGTTTACTTCTTTACACCATAATTACAAATAAAATTCTTTGTGAACACTTCTCCCTTATGAGCTTACTTGGCTGTGGTTCTGCTTCTGCAGTTCGGTTCGTCTGTCCTCCACTGCTGTCTGGTAGCCTGACAGGGCTGCTGCTCTTTGGTCTGCTGTCTAAAGCACTAAGATGAGACACAAAGGGAAAGAAGGGGCTGTATTATCCAGATAGGAATTAATCATACTCCGATTCCTGCATTCATCTACTCTGCCCCCGACTCATCCACACTTGAAAATCGGAGCCAGTTTCTATAAACACAGTATAGAGCAGGAAAGACAAAGCCCGGAAATGACTACTGAGCTTCAGAAAATCAAACTATGAGAAGTATATTTAAAATGTGGACAAATATATAATCACAGGCTTTTTCACACTAGTTACTTCAAGTCTACTGCACTCTGTGACCACATACAGGTCAGACTATTAGAGAAAAAGAGCAATTTTATGTTTCTCGTGCTCTTGCCAGGATGAAACATTAATTCAGCTACGACTGTGCCCGGTCAACAAGGGTGCAGACCTATTTGAATAAGAACCGTCCTCACACGACTGTGACCACTGCAAATGTCTACAATACTACACGTGCTAAAAGAACTGCTGGGTTGGGTTTGATTTTGTATGGGGGGTGTGGTTTTATTTGTTTGTTGTGTAACAATTAAGCTCTTAATTATCTTGTAAAATTTACAAAGTGGTAGCATTTTTATTCCACAAGTACTATCTTTTTACGTAAAAACAGCAAAGAAAATTTAAAAAGCTAAAAGTTCAACCTCCAATATACACTGAAATGCTATGGCAATTATGAAAAATGTAGTTTATGGTCTTTTGTTATCCATGAATTTTGTCACTAATGATGACTGTCTGAAATATGAGTGCCACTATCTGAATCCTACATATTTTCATGCTATAATGAAATCAGAATATTAGTACTTAGAATATCATGGCAAAATGGAAGGAAAGCGATGCTATTTATTCATCAGTCACCTGTTTGTTTGAAACCCTTCTTCAGCACCGTTCCGCAAAGTCGCTTTGGACAATTCCTCTAAGGCATTTCGATATTCTTTACAACTTAGGGTAGAAATAGATGGAAAGCTGTTAAAGACATTTTCATTCAAAATGAACTATATGCTTTCAAATAACCTTAAACTATAGAAACAGAAACATTATTACCCAGAACTGTCCGTGATTAAACAAATACATTGGGTGAACTAAGAAAAGTGAGCCTGTCTAAGCTTTATGCAGAAGGTTAATGTCTTCACACAAAATACAACAACATACAACCCACTCACACCACCACCAGCATCATCATCCTGAGCAATGATCCCAAAGAGTTACTATCATAACCCTCAGATCAAATCCCTGCAAAAGTTGACCAGGTGAGTTGTAAGAATAGAACTCTGGGGTTGAAGCCAACAGTGGGAAAAGAACTGGAGGGTGTTTTCATACAGTGAACCTTCAAAGAAGAAAAAAATGGAATGTGGGATTTGCCCAAAAAGTCCCTTCAACTCTTGACTAGTAGTAGCCTATCATTCAGTTGTACGAGAACGAGAGAGGCTTCTAAGGGGTGTGTGTGATCTTTCCAAGACATTGAGAAAGGTAACCTCGAGGGGAGTAACTACCTCTAACAGTACAAAAGATATCTCTGATGCATTCACTTTCCTGCCTTTCTTATCTATGAATGTCGGATGACTCATCAGTAAGGTGAGAAATAAATACTATCTTCTTCAATACCAAAAGGTGAAAATACACAATCTGTCATACAGAAAAATATAAAACGCAGCTTATACAAAAAAATATCTCTCATTATCTACACAGTAAACTCTAAATTACATAAAAACAAAAAACAAACCCTACGTCCGCATTGATTCTGACTCACAGTGACCCTGTAGGTCAGGGGAGATCTGCTCTTAAGGGGGACTGAGACTAAGTCTTATGGCGGCAGCAGCTTCATTTTCCTCCAGCAGAGAGGCTGGCAGGTTCACACCATGAACCTCCTGGTTAGCAGCCCGATGCTTAGCCCACTGTGCCACCAGGGCTCCTTCCACAAAGGCAGAGGCATATAAGCCTGTCTTATTTGCTCTGCACACCTTAAGTGTGGACACTGAGACATGTGTTGAATACATGGACCCTTTGTAACCATTACCCTAATGAGAAGAATTATAATTTTTAATTCTGTCCCATGGAAAATAAGGCTTTCTACTCCCTCAGAGAGGTATAGTCTTCGAAGCCGACAGGGACAGTTCTACCTTGTGCTACTAGGTCACCATGAGTTGGAATTGACTCAGTGGCAGAGAGTTTGGTTTGGGTCCAACGGAAAAAATTTCTTTATTAAAATTAATCATCTCAGATTCTACTTAAGCTAATTATTTTAGAAATAATATGTGATACAAAATATATAAATAAATGTTTATTTTTAA